TACTTTTGAAGTTAGTGACATTTTCCTCGATATTCAATAACCGCCTTGCTGCCATTGAAAATGTAGATATTAGGACTAGGAATCGTGTAATACCGTGCCAGTGATGCGGCCTTTGAAATAGCCACCATTGCCGCTTAAAAAACACTACAGTAGTCAGAAAGGCTATTTCGAGTAAAAACACTGAGAAATAATTAAAAAATCTTTTGTTGAGAGAAATATATTTAGTTGGCGTACCAAAACCATTTTCTTCCTGTCGAGTTTTTATTTATCCCTGACAAAACCGAACTATTGTCGTAGTTCAAAGAACACATAAGAAGAAGGAAATGTAGAAAGCCATTGCCATATATGTACATAAGCATTTTCGGTTTCAGTGCCCAAAAACAAAGGAATACACATCTATCCCAACTTTGCATGAGAAATTAACTTTCAAACCCCGGGGCCGGTAGCATTCAAATGGGCAATTGAAATTATTTTGGATAATCATATTCGTTTTCAACGATGCCAAAAACCTAGAAATAAGTGGGGTCTACCCTCTGGTTCACAATATTTTTTTTGTGTGCTTCTGTGTAATTAATGCGGCATATTCTGGATTTCATACGAATCGAAAATTTGAAATTGTTGTATAGAAAATGATAAGAAAATTTCATGATTTTCGATTCGTACGAAAACAAGAATACGCTCCAATATAACAGTGCCTCCGGATTTTCCACCTAATAGCGCCCTAGACCTATTTATGATGTTTGGTGTGTTCACACAAGTTAAGGCCCGAGATATTCTGAACAACTTTGCCAAAGAATTTTGCCGAAAAACTCTGGAGGATAAAAGATAGAAACGTTAAAATAGAGTATTTAAAACAAAAATTCCTTGGAGGCCACATTAAAAAAAATGTGAATAAAGGCGTGCAAAAGACTTAAAACACTAATGATTCACTTCGACTCTCCATATGTGATATATCTGTAGGGTGAAACCACCGTCCTCTCCGGCCATGCATTTGAAAAAATCGATCGCTTTATTTTGTTAAAACCTGCATTTCGGCACAATTTTTGTTAACATTTTGACGTAGAATACGTCTTACCTTAAGGTATGGGGGCTATGTTCAAATGTTGTAGTTGTAATTTTTAGAGCTTCACAAAAACGCTTATTGCACGAGAACTAATAAAGCGATTTCAAAGAAAAGT